AAGTGAAAATAAAACCTTAAGAGAAAATTCTGAAAAGGTTTTATCTGATAAGGCTAGTGAGTTTGAGAAAACTCTGGACAAAGTAAGGAAAGAATATGAAGAAGAATTGAAGATTTGGACCGATGCAAATAAGAAGTTATTCAACAAACTTCAAGATTTGCAAAAAGTAAAGGGTCATTTTGAGAAAGTTAATACAGATAAAATGGACTTAACCGATAAATCTCATAAATCTGAAAGTGACTTAATTGAGCTAAGAAAACTTCTGAACTTAGAGAAAGAAAAGGTTTTGAAAGCTGAAAAGGATTTGAATGTTGAAAGGAAAAATATTATAGAAATTGAGAAAAGATTTTGTACTGAACGTGAATCTTATGAAAATAAGATTAATTCTCTTGAGCTGAATGCTAAATTTCTTTTGAATCAAAATTCAGATTTTGAACAACTTATCATCTTGGAACGAGCCAAGGTTGATAAAGAAAAGAAAGAGGCAGAACAAAAGCAGAAAACTCTAGATGAAGAGAAAAAATTGTTTCTTCTTGAGAAGAAAAGTATTGTCAAGAAACATGCTGCAATTGCCAAAGAGCTTATTGAGAAAAAGAAATGGCTTGACATGGCCTCGGAGAATGATAAGGGAAGTTCAGATGAAGAAAGAAAGAAGTTTGAGAAAGAAAGAAAAGTGTTTGAAAAGATGTAGAAATAATTAGAAGGTAAATTTTTGGAAACTTCAAAGAAGTTGTCTGATCTAGAGACAGAACTTGTGTCTGAATTGAATATGAGAACTGAACTTAAGAAGAATTATGATTTAGTTGTTGATGAGAGAGATCAGTTACTTAAGAAAGTTTCAGACTTTTCAAGAGCTGAAAACTCAACTGGTTCTCAATCTTAGTGTAAAACTTGCTTTGATAACTGTTCCAGTGTTAAATCCAACAGTTATTCAAGCAGTCCTAAATCAACTGTTTCTAAGAACAAGTCTCATTTTTCAAATCAGTTTTATCAAGGGTATGTCATTGGATCATCCAATAATTTTTCAAAAGTTAAACAAGTATGGGTTAATAGAGCTGATTTAGTTGTGTCTCATAAATCTGTTGTAACTAACACTGTTCTTCCTTGCACTATAAGTTCTACTAATAAAATGACCAGTCTCAGCAAGAGAAGAATCCTATGCTCAAATTGTGGAAATAATGATTTTGTTAACAAGAAGATCAACAGAGGTTATGGGAACAACTGGTTTGAAAACAACTGTAATTCATTTAACAGGTACAATAATGACTGGTATGGTTCTTACTGCTTATCTGATTTACCTGTTAAAAGTTCTAAAAAGAATATATCTAATAAGAATAGATGGTTTGGAAGTTACAATGTACCCCAACCCGATACTAACAAAATAGGACCCAAGTTCATTTGGGTACCAAAATCTATTTAATCTGGTTTTGCAGGTGTGTCAAGATTGTGCTGATCAGAATATCATATCAGTGATACACCAATGTAGGGGGAGTTGTAATTTGATCCAAATAAGGCTTATGAACAATTCATTTCAGAACCCGTGCTTTACCGAGTGTGGTTTCTAAACACCAGTGTTGGATCTTAAATTCAGCTTTGATATTGATCTAATACTCTAGAAAAGCTCTTGAACAATGAAGTGCATCGGAAGTAATAATAAGAGCAAAACAGAGTATTAAGAACACACAGTATTGATGAAGAAGATGAACACAGGAGAATTGCTTCAAAGGTTTTTCAATCAATTTAATTGAAAATTTTGACGATTACAATACAGGAAGCACCACAGATTACAAAGATCCTATCCACTATTTATACTAGTTCCTAACGACCTTAGAGACCAGATCTTGACGCGTGTCTTCATCTGAGCCGTCCAAATAAAGTCGATTATTCCCTAGTCACGTGAGAAGCATATGCGGCTAACAACCTTTGAAAACTGTTGGAACAGAAATTTCATAGAAGACGAAATCCGCAGACCCTCTGTGAGCCCTCTCAGAGGCTCTGCTGTAATTGACTTGCATGTTCCATTTGACAGAGGACTATTTTCCAGAACCTCTGTGAGAGACATTAGAGGTTCTGTCACACTTCACTTGTTCGATCAAACGGCTTCTGTCGCTTAGTCCTYTGTTGTCTTCTGTGGAGTTATCCTTCTGTCAAGACTTGCAGTATACTTTTTCTATACTTTTACAAAATAGGAATAATTGAACTAACAATCTCCCTCTAAGTATGAAAAAGTAATTTTGGACAGTTGGGGTGCAAGAATTGACTTATGAAAAAAATACAAGAGGAGATTAATATCATCCTCTGAAAAAGAATTACATAACTGAAAGAATTAAAAGATTGTGCAGGCCTACACTATTACAAGAG